GGTGAAAGGTGAGGGTTATGGGTTAGAGTTAGGGTCAGGGTGTTAGGGTTAGGGTTCAGGGTTAGGGGTCAGGGTTAGGGTTAGGGGGTTATGGTTAGTGTTTGGTTTAGGGGTTAGGGGGTTAAGGTTAGGGGTTAGGGTTAGGTGGTTAGGGTTAGGGTTTCGGGTTAGGGCTTAGAGTTAGGGTCAGGGGGTTAGGGTTAGGGGGTTCGGTGTCGGGGTTAGGTTTAGGGTTTGGGGGTTAGGGTTAGGGGTTAGGGTTAGGGCCAGAGGCTTAGCGTTAGGGGGTTAAGGTAAATTTGAGATGTATTAAGACATTTTAATGATTGCCAAGTTTTCTGAAAGAATGTGTGTCCTGTTTCAAGTCAGCAGGCCATTAGCTGAGCAAGTTTTTCAAAACACCAAGCCAAACATTCCAGCCTCGTGGTCATTCTTCATCCGACCACATCTGAAGTGTCCTCCAGAAAACAAACATCAACGATTTGTGGCTCATTAGTCCCCAGCACCTGCTGCTAATTTTGCCGCAACCACCCCCCTCCCCAACATCTTTCTATTGTTTCTGCGCACACAGGAAAAGTCACTTATTTGTGACTTTGCTCGCCATCGGAATGGCGGTGGGTTCCATAAGGACCACTTGATCGGAGCAGCTCTTTCCGGACCGCTGTTGTGTTCCACATTCGCTCATTAACATTTTCTGCTCTTTCTACTGGACACGTTCAAGAGGGCGAGACACAGTCTAAGACAAACCTCTTCTTCAATTCATGACTTAATGGCTCATTAAGGACAATAAACCAAAAACGAATTCCAGCTCCTTTTAGTTCAGATTCCGGTACAACACGACTTCTAATCCCATCTGATCACAGTCACACAAAATATTTCCTCATTTTCCAGCCATCTCGAATTCACCATATCGATCTAATTCAGATCAGTTGTGTTGGGGCTTGGCCAAGGCGCCGCAGATTCACTCAAAACCAAACTTCGGGTTTGCCAAAAAGTACACAAAGCCGGCTTTTCTGACGCCGCTCCACGAGGATTCGAAGCGGATTCACGAGGACCGCTAATGGAACGAGACAGAGAGCATTGACATGATCGCCCCCGCAGGGCACTTTGACACTGAAAAGGAGCTTGTATGAAAACAAGGGCAGTCATGTGTCAGCTATAAATTGTGACATCGTTTCACATTTGACATGGGCTGGCTTTGAAAGAAAAAAAAAAAAAAACCCCGCCGGAGACACCGA